AGCTCCCGGGCAGGGACAGGCACCCAGCCGGGTAAAGCTCCATGGCAGGGACAGGCACCCAGCCGGGTAAAGCTCCATGGCAGGGACAGGCACCCTGCTACGGCTCCTCTTCCCAGCCAAGTCACAGGACTCCACAGAGGGCAGCGAAAGGGCGAGTGTTACTTACAGCACTAATAGGGCTTGATCTGCCCTTTGGAAAAAAGGGTAAAAACAATCCCCCAGCCCCAAGCAACAGCAGTAAAAACAGCACCAGAGGGACCGGTGAAATTGTCCCAGGAACAATTTCATGGCCCTGAACACTGCAAGTTTTTTTTCTTCCATACCCTACCAGCCCAGCAAGGTTGCTACACCTCACAGGCAGGAGGGAGTCCCACACCCTAAAATCCAGCCTCAACCTGCTCCAGCCGCCCTGGCACGTACCACCAGCGGCAGAAGGGAGGAGGAGGAGGAGGGAAAAGAGGTGACAGGCAGTGAGGAAAGCAAGGGCTGGCAAGAAGGGGGACCCTCCAGGCCTGCCTGTCACTGGGCAGCAGTGAAAGATCCATAGAGATGGACTGCCGGAGAATACAGGGAAAAAAAATTGCAGGGGGAGGTGAAGCCAAGTTAATTACAACAGACTGCTGCGCCCACCTCTTCGGCCATCAGCAGGTTGGGAAAGCTCAGCTACTGCTGCTGGACTTTCCCTGAATGCCTGCCTTCACCAGGTCCACGAGGTACCAAGCCAGCAGCAGTGTTCTGGGCACAGGAAGGACCCAAAGGCTGTGTCAGACCCCACACAACACGATCTTGCTCCTTGGGGACCCTACCCACCCCAACACAGCATTCTCTGGCTGCAAGAAAAACATCACAAGCCTTCCTTTGGGAAGCTGAGTCCTGGATCTGCCTCAGGATTTGGGATAAAGCAGGGGATGAGGTGCAGATGAAAAGAACAGTGATTGATGGGCATCCATGAAGCTCAGGGCGGCAGGTTCATGAAAAGCAGCTCTGCTGTGGGCTTTTAGCAAGCTCCCAAAGTGCCCCAGCCAGCGGGGGAGCTCGGGTACAGCACCCTTCCAGCATCAGTGTGAGCTGTGAGCCCTGCCAGGAGCCTGGCACAGGCAGGAGACAGCGCTACCAGCGGGAGCCTTGCTGGAAAGGTCTAAAGGTTAAACCTACACGAGGCACGATACATGRTGTGTCCATGTCCGAAGAAATACAGCTCAGCTGAGAGAGAAGGGGGAGGGAACAGGTTGGAAAACGCTGCCAGGAATGTTTATGTGGATTTGCTCCATTTCCCCCCGTAGCTGTCTTACAGTGTTTGAGCTGCTGTGAGCAACCTATCACCTCCTCTTGTTTCTCGAGGAATTTGGGAGGACAGCCTCTAACTGCTCACATTTTCATCAGTCAGTCCTGCTGGCCAGGGCAACAAGACACACCACCAGGATCCTCTCTGGACCACAACACTGCTGTCTCTGSTACCCCAGTCAGCTCTCCAGCCATTCACAAGTGTTAACTGAAGTGACACCGCAGCTCCATGCTTATAAGCAGCTTACAAGTCATACTGCTCCAAAGCAGTTTCCAAAGCCAAAAAATGCAATGCATTAAAAAATAAAAAACAATCTGCACTCTGTGGATCTCAAGGGGATGCAACTGTTGGGATGGAAAATTCAGAAGAAATGAAGGAGAGGCAATTTAAGCAGTCAAATTGCTGGAGTTATGGCAATTTGGCAGTTGCAGCTTTGAAACGCCGGACCGGATCCTGTGTGGCAGAAGATCGCATCACCTGCTRCGAGAGCCAAGGCCAGCCTGTAACAGCATCAGCAACCTGCACCCCGAGGTGGGGGGAGCCTTGAATGGGAGCAGAAAGCCAAAATGGGCTGCAAAATATCAGCAATTCATCTGCAGCCAGTGCTGAGCCAGACGCAAGGCTCATTACAAGATTATAGTAACCCCTGTCAAACAGGGGAGGTCTTCTTTTGCAATTTTTAACRAACACAGTTCCGATGCCAAAGCATAGTTCTGGTTAAGAAAGCACTTGTCTTCTAACTCCGCTTTCAGTGACTTATTTATTGCCTTCTCCTGCTTAAATAAATAAATAAATGTATACGTAATTATTTCTTTTGGGGGCCTGAAGTCCCATAGATTCACTCCTTTCTTCTAGGATTGAAAGATTTACSAAAGCCTGAAAAAACCTCCTCAATCATTTTTATTTAAAAAAACATGGGAAACCAATAATTCCTCAGGAYGAAAAAATCAAAGTAAGCTTTATGAGTTCTGACTTTTTTTTTTTCCGATCAGGTCGTTAATTCAGTTGCTGAGGTGACAGGCACATACATGAGACTCTCCAAAGAACATGTAAAGCTGTCACATGTTGTGGGCCAAACACTGCTGGGTGTCACCAGTGCAAAAAAGGGGCTGAGGGCTCACGCTCTTCCTCTGCCACAATAACCCTAATCTCGGTGTATTTTCAGGAGCTGGGCTCCAACCCAGATTAATTAATTCAAGATTTACAACAGTACAACTAAGCAGCATCTAATCCATGTCCTTTGGAAAGTTAACCCTCGGCTAAGCCCCAGCTGCTGTCAGCCGAGGAGAAGAAGACACGGAACCCGACAGGACACGGGACCTCTCTCAGCCCAAGCTGCTCGCAGCTCCCCTGCTTTTCGTTTGGGCAGTGAAACTCCTCCGATTCACTCCCTCCGTGGAGCGAGATGCTCCTCACACTGTGCCGTGCTGTCCCTCCGGGGACTCAAACACGACACCGAAAGGCGCGATTGCACAGGCACCCTGCTCCCAGCCCGCCCGGGGCTCCCGGGACAGCRGCATCCTGCCCCTGCCTGCTCTCCCGTCACAAGCAGCCGGGAAAAGCCCCAGCGCTTTCACCGGGCTCGCCCRGCCCAACCAGGGACCATCAAAGTCTGCTCCCCTCTCGTTTTACAGTCCGGACAGGACTGAGCCCTTCTCCTTTAGGGCAGCGTTAGGGAACACGGCGTGACCCACGGAGGAAGGGAGTCACCGGTCCCCCACCCGCGACACAAACCACGCGTTTCGTCTCCTCGGGGCTCACCGGTTCCCCCGCTCCCCAAGGCCCGGAGCCAGCGATGCTTCAAGTTGGCGGAGGGCCAAAGGGCCGGCACCGCCGGCAGCACCCGCGGCCGGGGCTGCCCCGCTGGCCGGTGAAGCGGGGCGGGGGTTGGGCTCCCGCTGTCCGACACCGAGCGGAGGGAGGGGAGGGGGGCACCACGGCCGGGGGRTACAGAAAGGGCCTCATGCCTCTCCCGCACAGGTACAGGTCCGACATTAAACTTGAAGGGGAAAGCGATAAGGTGGGGGGGTCCCGAAAACCGCCGGGAACTTCTTCCCCGAGCGGCGGCGGCATCGCGCCCAAGTCCCGCCGGAGCAGCCGCGGCCCCGCCGCCCCTTCCTTACCTCCGGCGTGTGTCCCTCGGGCTCCGCCGGCTCCAACTTCCTCCGCGCCCCGAAGAAGAAGAGRAGGAGGGCGAAGAGCCAGAGCACCCCCAGCAGAGACAGCGCCAGCCGCCGCGTCGGCCGCCTCATCCTCGGCAGGACGCAAAAGTCCGGCGGGGGCACGGGCAGGCGGTACGGGGGAGCCGCGGGCGCCGCSGGGGACAGCGGGGCCGGCGGGGAGGAGGGTCTCGCCCGCCCGCCTCGGAGCCGGAGACGCGAGTCCCGGGCTGTGCATGCTCTGCAGGGGAGGAGAGGGGAGGGGAGGGGAAGGGAGGAGGAACGGGAGGAGGAGGCGCCGGGAGGAGGGGGGCTGGAGCCGGAGCCGCTCGCCGGGAAAAGGTGCAGCGCACAGGGAGCCGGGCTGGTGCCCGGAGCTGCGCCGGTGCCCTGCCCACTCCGCGCCGGCGGGGACACAGCGCCGGGGACGGGGACACAGGGGTGTCTGTGTGTGTGTGAGTGTGTAATAGGGGACGCCCATCCCTCCGCCCTCCCTCCTTGAGTGAGTCCGGGCCACTTGCTCGCTACGGGATGCGCGGGGCTGGGCAGCGCCGCTGCGAGTTCGGCCCGGGTCGGTCCCGGTCCCTGTCCCCGTCCCCGTCCGGCGCCGGGGCGAAAGGAGGCCACCGTTCTACAACACACAGAGGAGGCTCAGACATGATGGGAAGATTAATTTAACCAATTGAAACAGCAGGGGGAATTCAGGTAGGTGGAATTTAATTACTGGATTTGGAAGAGAAGATGTGTGTCTCCAGAGCTGTCAAGAACACTTAAAAAATAAAATCATAATCATCAGCTGTTGGTRCTCCGGCAGCAAGCTTGGGGCCGGGCCACGCAGGGGTGGCTCTCAGCTATTATCCCTGTCCCATGGGGTTTTCCTTCCTGGCTCCATACACAGCCCCAGAACAACAGGCCTGTCTACACAGAGCAGCCMAAGTGGGAATTACAGACCTTGCTGRGGGGAAAAATCCCTAATGCAACTACAGAGTAAGACTCCAGAAAAGAGCTGTCTCACTCAGCTATCCCTGCTCACCTACCTGACACTGTTCTTCTGATCCTGCCACTGACAAGTATTACATGAGCTAAGCAAACCTTTGCAGAAGACATTAGAGAATAAATTGAGTATCGGAGCAGACGTGAGTCATTCATGTTAGTACAAAAACTATAGAACAAACGCCATAAAAACAGGAATCCATGCATAAAGTAACATATGGAATGGAATAGAGATAAGATGTCAAATGCTGGAAAGTCCGATGCACATGTTGTAAACAACCTCTCCTATGCATATCCCACACACTCCTCCTGCCTTTATTATTTCCTGCAGTTGTTTTCTGTCACTTGCTAATTTATCATTTGCAATCTGCATCCTCTGTCCTCCTCTAATTTATTTCCAGGGCTCAATAAGCCCTTCTCCCTAACATAATCCATGCCTCTCAGGCCCAACATTCACAGAAAGATGCCTAGATAAAAATTTCATTAGCATCCACAAGGGACATTTCTCTTTCTTTGTTTTAAAGCCGTGTGACTTTGAAACACCTTTACAAGAACGAGGAAATCCAGGTCCAGCAGGCAGTTAGTTTGAACTTTGCTTTACAGCAAGGCAGGAGCAGAACTAACCAGATGGGAAGGGAGCAGCAAGCCCTCATGCCCTGGTGAGCCACCARCCTGATGTCACATGGGGAGCCCACATCAGCCCAAAAATGCAACCTGTTCCCATGATGTGCATCATTTGTCATGCTGATTAACCTACATCAGCCACATATTCAGGGCAGCTGGACCATTACACTCCACCTCTGCCACCATGAGACATCTCTGCCCAGCCTAGCTGGGACCTACTGGTGTTTCTCTCTCCCCAAACCGTTGCCTTATGCTTTTTCCTGACAGCTAAGGTAAAACACCTGAGCAGCTTTCAGCAGCTGAGGCACACCAGTGGCAGTTTTCACATGGTATGCAGTTGTCTTCTTGCCTTATGCTCATCCCAGCTATTGGGACAAACTGGTTGCTACCTCTCACGTACCTTCTTTGGATCAGGAATGGTTTTCTGACCAAAAAGATCACCTTGCCACAAGTAGAAAATAGTGGTATTTTCCTGCCTGGGACAAAGCGACCTTGGCTGCTGTTACATGGACTTCCTCCAACACGTTTGCAGAGGGTGCTGAGTTTTTCCTCCCAGACCTCCCTCTGCTAGGAGAGTTTTTCCAGATAAAGGCACCTGGAGGGTGTTATCATTCAAAGCTGGATTTAAAACCTTGTCTTTTTTGTAGGTCAGACTTTCAGGGGAAGCTGTTACAAAATACAGAGGGGAAGTGTAGAAAATATCAAGGAAATACATTACAAATTAGATTACAGGTAAGGTAATAAATAGGGCATACCTGACAAAAATGCAATCAGATAATGCTTTCTTATTACCTTGAGAAACAACTCCCTCTGCTGAGGGAAAGCTTCACTGGCAGTGCTCGGTGCTGTGATGGATAACTCGCCGTGCCTAGCAGGAAACGGACAAAACCTGACATTTCCACACTGGCACAGCCACCACTCCGGTGAGGAGGGGACATTGTACAAATCCTCGCTCTGTGCAGGTGGCCCGTGTGGAGGCAGGAGACTCGAGGAGCTCTAGCAGTGCATTGTCTCCAAGGAAGTATATTCCTCCTGATGGTGTGTCTGTGTGCTGGGACAGATAATATATCAAGCAAATGATGGTAACAGCTATTTAAACAAGAAGAAGGCAAGAATACAAATCTGGAGGTTCAGAGTTATTTGAAGTCGTAGACTTTCAGAGACTTGTATAAAAATCCTACTGCAATTCCATTAAAAAACATGGCAATAAAAAAAATAATCTTCTGGTGTATTATTGACCCATATCTTTCCCATTTTTCTAATTTTTTATCTGTCAATCTCAGCTGCTTTACAAGTGAGGTCCATAAYATATTACCTGTTTCTAACAGAGCAAAATTTACAAGCAGTACAGCCAGAGACACAAAAACAGTCTAGGAAATGGGTGGCTGTCAGGGTGGATGAGACCACCCYGGGGACTGCTGGGGGGCCAGACTACCCTGGSACAGCTGRAACTTGGTGGTGGAAAGACCCCGACAGCKCCCTGGGGAATTAGATGGTTCCTTCCAAKAATAYGCAAATCCTCCTAYCCCRGCTGGACCTAATCTGATCCCTCAGTTCMCCCATCCCTTCCCCCACTGGTCATTGCATCCYCTTTGCCCTCTGTCTCTGCCCTCTTCACTCAGRTGACTGGCCCCACAGCTGTATATCTGGGGGCAAAGAATGTAGCTCTCTCTCTTCACCTCTGGATCCCCTCTGGGAATAAACTTCTGRAACATCCACATGGAYGAGCCCTCTGGTTCTTTGTCTCTGGTAACACAYGAGCTATARGCATACTGGGTGTGTGTGTGAGCCTYTTACTGGCAAAGATGTTACGGAATTCTTAATGTACAGCACCAACACAGTGCTGGCTGGAGTGATCTCCGAAGGCTGCAGAGACATTCCTGGTACTGGTAGAGGGATCAGACCACGMTAATCACCACCCCCTGTTTGCGTTAGGCTGGCAATTTTTTGGCATCAGCATTGAAAAGCTGATGAAAGTGATTGTTTCATTAAAGCAAGAATAGGACATGATTTCTGAGAGGGAAGGGGACTCTCCATAATCACAGCTCCAGGCAGTGGCCCTTCAGGGTCTTTTAAAGAATGGATGGAAGGGGAAAGTWACTTTCCTTGCTGTTTCAAGGGCAGCCGTAGAGCACATTTCAAGGGAGTCTGATCTCACAGTGTCTACAAACCAGCTGGGCACTGCTTCAGTGCAGGTTTTACTAGGAATACTCTTRTGTTTGAGTTCAGTTCACATCTGAGATTCTATCCACAGGATGTTTCTTTTCTGAAAGCATTACAAATACTTTTCAGTGTGTTCTGAGAAAGTTGATACAGTCAAGAAGTGATCAGAGGAAAGGATCGAAATCTACCCCCAACTTGGGATGCTGAGGAGTCTCAACTGAACATGGGAGGTTACTGTAARATGGAGGAGCCTGACAGAGCTCTGGATTGAAAGGGGCTTGTAGGACAGAGTTCCCCTGCCAGGGGAGGATCAGGTTCAGTCAGTGGCTTSGGGTAGCCCAGCCCTCACTGCTGTTCATGGCAGTGCACCTTCCCCACCAAGAGGTGCTGCTTGCAGTAGCACATCTATCAGAAAGACTATTTTGTTTACAAAAATATGTTTGTTTACAAAAATGTAAGAGAGCAGCATTTGAAAGGGTTGGTGTGGCAATGCGCGTGGTTATACAGGGTGCTGGATTTCAGTCAGTGGTCTTTCTGTGGTSTGTGCTCCGGGCTCAGGGAATGAAGCTCATTGAGAAGTTTCTCTCCCACCCCTGGCAGAGRGTGTGTTGTGCTTACTGAATTTAACCATGTTGAGGACAGGGGCAGGAGCACAAGCTGCTCCCAAATAGCTGTTTTGGCAAGTGCTGAGCGCTGGCATGTGTCAGCAGGAGCCCAGCTGTCCCTCGTCACCAGCAGTGGAGATGCCAGCCTGGGTGCAGAGCCTCAGGACAGCAAGCCAGCACATGCCCTGGCCCAGCACCACCCCCCAGCCCCAGCCTGCTCCCCAGATGACTCAGAACCATTTGATATTCCTCTATGGGTGGAGCTGTGCTTCCAGTGTGACCTGTCCTGTCAGAGACTTCCAAGGTTGTATTTAATACTGGAATAAAGTTCCTTTTTTGGATCTCTTCAGAAAGTCTCTGGGTCACTTGGTCAATGTGAGGAGAGGAAGARGAGAAGTCCTTTGCACAGGAGAGATTGTTGCTTTGCCATGGGGGTCCCCCAGCTCTGCAGCACTTGGCACCACCATGCCATAGCCCCATGGCAAGCTGCTGCAGTGGTGCAAGGGTGTGCTGAGGTGGTTCCTCCTACCCACAGCTACCATCTCACACAGCCTTGCTGTGGGGGCAGCAAGGGCTCTCTGCCACCTCAGGCAGTCCCCTGCCATCTCAAAACCCAGCTTCCCTGACAGCTGTTGAAGATAATGTGAACAGTATTCCACATTTTTGTGGTGGGTAAGATCTGCCTTTGTTTTTGTGCTGTAAAGGAAACAAAAAAAAAATCAGACCAGTGCTTATATGAAAAATGTTCTTCCTGTGTGCCCTTGGAGAAGACCTAAAATGTTAGAGAGAGTTGTGGCCTAATACCAGGAGAATTGTAAGTTAAAGTATGAAAAAAAAAAAAAAAACAAAACCAAAAACTTTATAGCTGGCTGTCTCCTCTCCCTTGCTGAGGTAACA